TGCATTGAAATTAGCCATGATGCAAGTATTCACACTACGGAAATCAGCATACACGGTAAATGAGAGACTTTTTATTTTGGTTTTGAACTAGCTGTTAGCTAGTTGTTAAATATTTACACAAGCCAGGCACAGTAGCAGGTGCCTGTAGTCCCAGCTACATAGGAGGCTGAGGTGGTCCAGCCAGGGCAACATAGCAACACCTTACCTCAAAAAAAAAATAACGTTTTTTAATGTACTTGTTGTATAGAGTGCAAGGGACAAATGCATTAGATGAGGCTGGAGAGATGAAAATTAGCAGCTATCTAGGCCTTTTAAGCCACATAAGGGATTTTGGATTTAAGAGCAGTGGGAAGCCATTACTAGGGAGTGACACCATCAGCTACTCAGGCACTTCAGAAAGATCATCTACAGTGTGGAAAATTGAAAACACTCACTAGGAGACTTGTAACCTCCAAGTGATACAACTACCTAAATTGAGGGAGTGTCCATGGGGATGCAGAAGAGGAGACAGACTTGAAAAATACGAAGGGGGTGAGGTCAAGACTTCTGGGGGTCGATCTGACTGTGAGGAAGAAAACAGCCCAACCTCCCTCTAGACCAGGCGTCCCCAAACTATGGGCCCGCGGGCCGCATGCGGCCCCCTGAGGCCATTTATCCGGCCCCCCGCCGCACTTCAGGAAGGGGCACCTCTTTCATTGGTGGTCAGTGAGAGAAGCACAGTATGTGGCCCTCCAACGGTCTGAGGGACAGTGAACTGGCCCCCTGTGTAAAAAGTTTGGGGACGCCTGCTCTAGACTCCAGCTCAATTTATGCTTCAAGCCAAACAGTGCAGATGGGTCCACATTTTCCTCCCAAGAGCCTTAGGCCCTGTCGGGGAACCCCATTCTACAGGCCTTTCTTAGGCACCTACCTCTGCACACACCCACGAGGACCCCAAGGCCAGAGGTGGCAGAGTGGCTGCCCAACACACAGTGTGGCCATAAGCCCTAGGGGTGATAGAGGAGAGCTGTAGGCCAGGGAGCACATGGATACGGGGAAGCTTTGGGCTTAGGGTTAAGGGAGTCAGTTTCCTCTTCCGGGCACCTGAAAATTACTGAAGCAGTGCTTCAACTATACTACTAAACTTCAGAAGGAGGCTTTATATTGCAAAGTTACAGATGAAGAAGACTAAAATGATGAAATAATTTGTCCAAGGCCACATAATTGGTAAGTGGCAGGGCCAAGATCTGAATCTAAATATGATTTCAAAGCCTGTGCACATGGCATTCTTTACTCAGTGCTGCAAGGAAGAAAAGTGGGGCTTTTGCATTTCCAACTTGAATTGTGGAGCAGAGAAAACCAAATTCACTGTCCTAGTCAGCAATACCCAGACAGATGAGTGCTTAGTCCCAGTAATGAGACTATCTCTGCTGTCCAGGAACCAATGTGAAATTTAACTAATTAAATTTAAAATTAAATGTAATCGGACTGGCATGGTGGCTCATGCCTGTAATCCCAGCACTTTGGGAGGCCAAGGTGGGTGGATTACCTGAGGGCAGGAGTTTGAGACCAGCCTGGCCAACATGGTGAAACCCTGTCTGTACTAAAAATACAAAAAATTAGCCTGGTATGGTGGCAGGAAACTGCTACTCCCAGGGGAATTGGAGGAGAGTCAGGGAATGCCTCAGAGGACAAGCCCATTGCAATGGTCCTTGAAGCTGGAGGTAAACAAGGGTGGGGATGGATGTTAAATGGACCAGTGGCCTCCTGGGAGGAGGGTGGAGTCTGTAAAGGCAAGGAGGCATCAAAGTGCTGGGTATATGTGAGCACAAGCAGATCAGGGTCGCTGGTGCACGGTGTCAGTGCCAGTGCTGGGATGGGAGGTTCTGGGACCAGGATGCCATGGACTCCAGGGGCAGGGTGGGCGTGGGGAGAAGGGTCCTGAGAAATAAGTGGTATGACGTGGGCTGTGATTTCCAAAGCATGAGGAGGTTGGACAGGAGGCTGGAAAGGAGTATGAAAGATTTTTGAGGATGATACAGGCAAAAGATCTGAATTCCTCTTCCTTTGTTTTTCAGGGCTGAAAGTTGCAAGTAAAAGGGATTTTTTTTTTTTTTTGATACGGAGTTTTGCTCTTGCTACCCAGGCTGGAGTGCAGTGGTGTGATCTGAGCCCACTGCAACCTCTGCCTCCCAGGTTCAAGCGATTCTCCTGCCTCAGCCTCCCGAGTAGCTGGGATTACAGGCATGCACCACCACACCTGGCTAACTTTGTATTTTTAGTAGAGATGGGGTTTCTCCATGTTGGTCAGGCTGATCTCGAACTCCCGACCTCAGGTGATCCACCTACCTCGGCCTCCCAAAGTGCTGGGATTATAGGTGTGAGCCACCAAGCCGATCAGGGATGTGTTTAAAGCAATCTGTGGCTATCTTGTTTTTAAGTAAATGCTATGATCAATTTCAACTAAAGAAAAGTTTTGGTTCACCTGTTAATATTGTACTTGCCCACATCATAGAAAAATCAGATAATCATTTACTGCCACTTATTTATTCATTCATTTATTAACGAGTGGCAACCCTGGGGTGAACACTCTTCTACAAGAGTTAGCCCTGTCCTCAAGGAGCAAAGCAAAATTACTGCCGGAAATGAAGAGGAAGCAAGATCAAAGTTTCATGTCAGAATGAAAGTGTCCTACAGTGAGTTAAGTCCCCATATCCCTGGCCACTGTGCATGATCAGATGCTGAAGTTGATAAGAACTGGGCTGGTCTTTTCCACATTGGCATCAAAGGTCCTCTCCAGTGTGAATTTCCCAATGAACTCCAAGGTGAAAATTCCATCTCAAGACTTTCCCATACTCTACATAGTAGTGTTTCTCACCAGCGTGAACTCGAATGCCAAGGAATCTCCCATCTCCACCTGAAGGCATGAAGGTCTCCCAGGTCCTTCCCACATTCGGGGCACTCTTGGGGTTCCCCTGACTTCAGAGTCAGTGGAATGGAACCTAGATTTGTAGTGCCTACTCTGACTAAAGTGCCTCTGCCCCGCCATCTATCTCCAAACTGGGTATGTCCAGCTTGGAGAATGCTCGACATACCCAGATGACCAAAGGCATAGAAGCATTTGCTGCTTTTTTTTTTCTTTTTCTTTCTTTCCTTTTTTTTTTTTTTTTTTTTTTTTTGAGACAGAGTCTTGCTCTGTTGCCAGGCACCAGGCTGGAGTGCAAGCCTGGTCCACTGCAACCTCCGCCTCCCAGGTTCAAACAATGCTCCTTCCTCAGCCTCCAAAGTAGCTGGGACTACAGGCACGCGCCACCACGCCCAGCTACTTTTTGTATTTTTTCATAGAGATGGGGTTTCACCATGTTGTCCAGGATGGTCTCGATCTTTTGACCTCGTGATCCACCCACCTCAGCCTCCCAAAGTGGTGGGATTACAGGCGTGAGCCACCGCGCCCAGCTGCTTTTTTTTTTTTTTTTTTTTTTGAGATGGAGTTTCACTCTTGTTACCCAGGCTGGAGTGCAATGGCGAGATCTCGGCTCACCGCAACCTCCGCCTCCTGGGTTCAGGCAATTCTCCTGCCTCAGCCTCCTGAGCAGCTGGGATTACAGGCACGCGCCACCATGCCCAGCTAATTTTTGTATTTTTAGTAGAGACGGGGTTTCACCATGTTGACCAGGATGGTCTCTATCTCTTGACCTCGTGATTCACCGGCCTCAGCCTCCCAAAGTGCTGGGATTACAGGCTTCAGCCACCGCGCCCGGCTTTTTTCTTTTTTTTTTAGACAGAATCCCTCTCTGTCGCCCAGACTGGAGGGCAGTGGCATGATCTCAGCTTACTGCAACCTCCACCTCCCGGGTTCAAGTGATTCTCCTACCTCGGCCTCCCAAGTAGCTGGGATTACAGGCACACACCACCTTGCCCAGATAATTTTGTACTTTTAGTAGACACAGGGTTTTGCCATGTTGACCAGGCTGGTCTCAAACTCCTGACCTCATGTGATCCGCCCACCTCAGCCTCCCAAAGTGCTGGGAATACAGGCGTGAGCCACGTGCCTAGCCCGGATTTGCTCCTTTCTTGATGATTCTCTGGATAAACTGCCCAGAAAGCCTCCCAGACCTCTGCCCACTCTCAGCACATAACCACCGTCCCTCTTAGCAAAATGCCTCAAATGATCAACTCCACTGTCTCTGACACTCATAACTTCCATACCTATCTTCTTAGCCCCTCCAACGGTTTTAGTGTCTTCAGTGACTTCTTACTAAAGCCAACCCCGCCTTTCGTGTTTTGAGTCTACACTTTCCGACTGCGAATAAGTTCACTTATAATAATTAGATATTAAATAGTTATATTAGGCCTGGCTTGGTGCCCAGAAAAGCCTGGGCCGCGGGAGGGACTCTGTAAATACCCATGGGATGTGAAATGCTCTCACAAACTGCAAATACCAGAAGGCAGAGAGACAAAAGCACAGGCCCACTGATTTGCCCCCAACTGCCACCCCGACCCCACCCGCACACGCACGTGGGAGTCTTAGCGGATGCCCCACAGCCCGCCCACGCGGCCGTGAGCCCGCCCGGATGTCCCTCAGCCCTCAGTCTCCGACCCCATTGGTCCCCGCCCCTCAGCTCTCGATCCGTGCCTGCGGCCGCCGCCAAGGCCCTGCGCTAACTAGCGGTCCTCCCAGCCCCGCGACAGACACGCTTCCGCCCGCACCGCTGAGGCTCCTACCTCTGGGATACCAGACAGGCAGGCCGATGAGCGCATTTGGGGGACTTTTTGGAGACGATGAGTACCAACAGAATTGGGTCCAGCAGAAGACACCTGCCTGTAAAGCGTATTATCAATTATTGAAAACAGCTGGTGTTCTCCTCCGCTGTTCTGTTGGAGAGTGGAGTGACTGTCGATTCCCAGGGCTGGGAGACCAGGGCGTGGGAAAGACGCCCAGGGGCTTGGGAACCGGCTCGAGCTCGGTCTCGGGGCTCCTGAAATGGGCTTCCATCGTCTGGTCGGCCAATGCCCTCAAGCTACCATCCTCCTTCGTGCTGGCTCAGAGCTTCCGGGAGAGGTAGAGGTGGGCGCCAGGCTGCATAGCCGCCCTGCCTTTGAGACACCAAGCCCTCTCCTGGTCCGCAGCGCTGACGCCGTTGGGCTGTTGAGGCGCAGCGAGTGTCCGCGAGTGCCCACGCCCAGTGCAGGTGCTTCACCTCCCAGGCGGCCAGCGAGTGGTTGACGACTGTGTCCACCTGCCCTGCTGAGGCTGCTCCCTTTCTCATGTGATTGCCAGAATCGTCCCCGCCCCTTCCCGCTGGGCTTTTACTGGGGTCCACCCGACCTCCATTTCCAGGTGTACACCCAGGCAACTCTTTTTGATATAGCTTCATTCCGAAAGCTGAGGGGTGCGGTGAAGAGCAAGTTACTGCGGAAGTGACTTTTTTTTTTTGAGATGGGGTTTCACTATGTTGGTCAGGATGGTCTTGAACTCCTGAACTCGCGATCCACCCATCTTGGCCTCCCAAAGTGCTGGGATTATAGGCGTGAGCTACCGTGCCTGGCCTTTTTTTTTTTTTTTTTAAGAAACTCGATGTTTATTTTCCATGAATCTTTTATACGTTAAGAGCCCACACAAGCGGGGGAGAGATCCAAGATGGCTGATCACTAGCAGCTCGGGATTGTAGCTCCCACTGAAAACGCAAAGAACGAGAGGACGCCACACCTTCATATGAATTCTTGTGCTCACGCACCAGGAGATTCCCAGCGGAGGAGCCCCACGGGTCGCCAGCGCGACTCTTGTGACCCGCGAGGCGGTTTTGCCGGCGCCTCAGAGCGTCAGTTCTTGGTGCAGAGTCAGAAAAGCACCATTAATCTTAACGCCGCTGATTTGGTTGGCACAGTGGGTTGCTCAGATTTCGGCGCTGAGAATCAATAAGTTGGACGTCCACTCAGAAACCCAATTACAAAGACGGTAATTATAAAGACCACAGATGGATAAATCTACAACGAAGGGAAGAAAACAGTCAAAAAAGGCTGAGAATACCCAAGATCAAAACGCCTCTTCCTCAACAGGGGATCCCAGTTCCTCATCAGCAACGAAACAAGGCTTGATGGAGAACGAGTGTGTTCCAATTACAGAAGCAGGCTTCAAAATGTGGATAATAAGAAACTTCTGTGAATTAAAAGAACTTGTTCTAACACAATCTAAAGAAACTAAGAACTTTGAAAAAAGGTTTGACGAAATGTCAACAAGAATACAAAATTTAGAGAGGAAAATAAGTGAATTGATGGAACTGAAAAACACAATACGAGAATTACGTGAAGTATGCACAAGTTTTAACAGCCAAATTGATCAAGCAGAAGAAAGGATATCAGAGGTCGAAGACCAACTCAATGAAATAAAACAAGAAGACAAGATTAGAGTAAAAAGGATAAAAAGGAATGAGCAAAGTCTCCAAGAAATATGGGACTATGTGAAAAGACCTAATCTACGCTTGATAGGTGTACCTGAATGTGACGAAGAGAATGAATCCAAGCTGGAAAATATGCTTCAGGATATTATTCAGGAAAATTTTCCCAACCTAGTAAGGCAGGATAATATTCAACTCCAGGTAATACAGAGAACACCACAAAGATATTCCTCAAGAAGAGCAACTCCAAGGCACATAATCGTCAGATTCACCAGGGTTGAAATGAAGGAGAAAATACTAAGGGCAGCCAGAGAGAAAGGTCAGGTTACCCACAAAGGGAAGCCTATCAGACTTACAGCAGATCTCTCAGCAGAAACCCTACAAGCCAGAAGAGAGTGGGGACCAATATTCAACATCCTTAAAGAAAAGAACTTTCAACCAAGAATTTCACATCCAGCCAAACTAAGCTTCATAAGTGAAGGAAAAGTAAAGTTTTTTGTGAACAAGCAAGCACTCAGAGAATTCATCACCACCAGGCCTGCTTTACAAGAGCTTCTGAAAGAACCACTACACATAGAAAGGAACAAACAGTATCAGCCTTTCTAAAAAATACCAAAAAGTAAAGAACATCAATATAATGAAGAATTTACATCAACTAATGGGCAAAATAGCCAGCTAATATTAAATGACAGTATTAAACTCACATATATCATTATTAATTCTAAATTTAAATTGACTAAATTCCTCAATTCAAAGACAGGCAATTTGGACAAAAAACTAAAACTGTATGCTGCATCCAGACCCATCTCACATTCAAGGATACACAAAGACTCAAAACAAAGGATGGAGAGAGACTTACCAACCAACCAGAGAGCAAAAATAAATAAATAAAAAGCAGAAGTTACAATTTTTGCCTCTGATAAAATAGTATTTAAAGCAACAAAGATCAAAAGAAGCAAAGAAGGACATTATATAATGATAAAAGAATCAATGCAACAACAAGAAGAGTTAAAGGTCCTAAATATACACGCACCCAATACAGGAATACCCAGACATACAAGACTTATAAAGAGACTTAGACTCCCACACAATAATAGTCGGAGACTTCAACATTAATATTAGACAGATCAATGAGACAGAAAATTAACAACGATATCCAGGACTTGAACTCAGATCTGGAACAAGTAAACGTAATTAACATTTATAGAACTCTCCACTTTACACAAAATATACACTCTTATCAGTACCACATCATATCAACTTAGAAGTTTAAACGAAATGTTGGTTGGCTCCTTGTTTGTTACTCTCTTCCCTCATTTTCTTTCATGTCTCCATTATTAAGGACAATTATAGGCATACCCATATTTAGACTGCATTCTAGCCCAGGCAACAAAGCAATACCCCCATTCTCTCTCCCTCTTCCTCTTTCTCTTTCTTCCTCTTCTTTATTATTTTTCTTATTATTCTTTTTCTCAAAAAAAAAAAAAAAATAGAGTTCTAGGTAAAGATAAAGAAACAAAACAAAAAAAAAAAAAAAGAAGAGCCCAAACAAGAACAGCTTAAGACCTGCAGTGGCTGCTCCTACCCATTCAGTGGCCTGAGCAGTGGGAGCTGCAGACCAGTCTTCCGTGGCAGGCTGGGCACTCCAGTCTTCAGTAGGGAACTGCTGGATAGGCACAGAGGGCACCTGCACACCTTCAGACCAGTCAGCAACCTCAGGCTGAGTAGCAGTGAACTCAGGAGCTGGAGCAGTCCATTCGCCCTGAAATTCCTCCTTGGTCACAGCGTTTTCAGCAGCAGCCTGCTCTTCGTTTTCAGTCTCTTCAGGATGTCTGTAGAAGTACAGATCAGGCATGACCTCCCAGGGGTGTTCACGGGAAATGGTGCTACGCATGCGCAAAGCTTCCCAAGCCAGCATCCACCACATCAAACCCATTGAGTGAGCTCCCTTGTTGTTGCATGGGATGGCAATGTCCACATAGCACAGAGGCGAAGCTGGGTTACACAGAGCAATGGTAGGTAGGTTAACATAAGATGCCTCCGTGAGAGGCTGGTGGTCAGCCCTTGGGTCAGTAACCACAAGCAGCCGTGGCTCCTGGAAGGCTGCCTGGATCCTGTTGGTGAAGGTTCCAGGAGTAAAGCAGCCAGCAATTGGAGTGGCTCCAGTGGCAGCAGCAAACTTCAGCACGGCCCTCTGGCCAGTATTCCTGGAGGATATAACACTGACGTCAGCAGGGTTTTCAATGGCAACAATGGCACGAGCTGCCATGAGAAGCTTCTCCCAGGGCCTCTTCAGATTTATGATGTAGATGCCATCACTTTTCCTTTTACAGATATACTGTTCCACCTGGAAGTGAAGGTTGGTGCCACCTAAATGGGTTCCTGCTTCCAGGAACTTAAGGACAGCCTCCTCCTTCGTTTGCAGGACATCCAGAGCTCCAGACATTGTGAAAGTTTCCCTTTAAGTTACGACCGGAATCCAGAACAACACCGTTTGGAGCCCTCTGCAGGTAGCATGGAAAGCTTTTTTTTTTTTTTTTTTTTTTTTTTTAAAGGTAAAGGTTTAATTTCGGGAACAGGGGTCAGAGGATGGGTTTCAAAAGATCCATGAATTCTCTGAAACTGTCAGGCAGAGCTTTCCTGGTTCTCAAAGGAGATTATTGACGTAACAGCATTAAGAACCTGGCATCCGCCAGGAATCAGAACACTTGTAAAAATTGAATGGTAAACAATCAGCAGCACGCATCACCACCCTGACATTTCAGTAATAAGGTGATTTTTTTTTAAGGCCATACAAATCGTCTGGAAATATCTTACATTAAGTTGTTAATAATGAAGAAAAACGTGTATACCAACACACACACAGTAGATAACGCTTGTCCTGTTATTTAAGATGATCTTACCAAGCAAAGCAGATGATCAAGGACACATAATGTACACTGTATGCAAAACCAGAAGCTAACAAACATGTTGGGGTACTTAGGCAAGATGAAACTTACAAGGTGGGGACAAAAATGGTAAAGTCCTATTAAAAACCATAATGAAACATAATGCAACTTGGAATAACAACCATTACAAAGGCATTATTATCAGTAACATTGTAAAGAAATATTTTATTTACCTAAAGTGTTAGTACATTAAAATTCGGGAAGGAAGAAAATATACACAGGCATAGCTTCAAAAATTCTTAAGGGTATTTCTGGATATTTAGGTAGAACTTTAAGATTGTGAGGCCTGTGCGGTTTTTTTTTTTTTTTAAAGGCCTAAAATTAAGACAATTCATGTATTTTCCTTGACAGTATTGTGTTTGCATAAATCATCACCAGTCACGATTATGGTCAGATGCCGACTCCCAAGTAAGTTGAAGAGGGAGGTAGGCAAACAGAAGGAAAAGAAAAATCTTCCTGAGATCTCTGGGTAAGATGTGTTAAGACGACAGGAAATTGAGGTTACAGGATTTGCATATAGTGTACATAACAAGATGCAGGTAATTTCATTAACCAGAAATCTGTGGGGAGGGGTATATCTATATATGGTAGATTTTTCTGGAAATGTGATGTGAGTCCTCCCACTTAAGAACCTGCTCAGGTGCAACAGGTCACTAAATTGCCTCCTAATGTTTAAGTTAACTAGAGGACATTTTGCTGAGCAGTGATGGGTTTAAGAAGGTAACTGAGCTAGGCCCAAGGGAGGTGAGAAGATGGATTGTATATCTGGTAGGGAAAAAAGGAGGCGAGGTGGCTGAGCCTTGAGAGGGGAGGACAAAGAGAAAAAACTTCATTGGTGGTTTGGCCAATAAGGTACTTCCGAGAACGAAGTGTCTAATAGAATGCACAGTGTGAACTCTTCTCTGCTTCTTACACAGTATCTTCAGTGAAGTCCATATTGCTCAGGGGTGTTTGTGTGAATAGATTTTTTATGAGAAGCTTGAAAGGGTGCCACGTTCTCTATCAGGGCTGACAAGAGGTAAATATGGAAATAAAATGTGCAAACACAGCCTGGTGCAGTGGCCCATGCCTGTAATCACAGCACTTTGGAAGGCTGAGGCGGGTGGATCACCTAAAGTCAGGAGTTTAGACCTGCCTAACCAACATAGTGAAACCCCATCTCTCCTAAAAATACAAAAATTAGCCAGGCGTGGTGGCATGCGCCTGTAATCCCAGCTACTCAGGAGGCTTAGGCAGAATTGCTAGAACCCGGGAGGTGGAGGTTACAGTGAGCCAAGATTGTACCATCGCACTCCAGCCCAGGGGACAGGGAGATGAAAAAAAAAAATGCAAAGGAATCAGGCATGGAAGGGACAGGTGAGATCCAGGTTTCATGTGAGAAAGATATAGCCTGGGCACAATTCAGTTTGTGCTCCAGCAATGAAAAAAGGAATAAGAGAGCACACTTCACTTTGTAATCATTCTAAGGGAAGAAGTAAATAAAAAACTTTTCCTACTAGGAGTGTGACTGTTAGAGGCAGAGGTATCTGGAAGGATGTGGAAACTGTGCAATCATCTATTTGTACAACCCTTTTCTCAAGCCAAGGATATAAGCCTGGGAGACACCTATGTTAGAGTACAGAATAAACCATTTGGTGGATTTTTTTTTTTTTTTTTTTGCTGTGGTCACTTCTGTTACCAAGGACATTATTTAAATTCACTATATTCAAATCTATGTAGAAATTAGTAATAGAAAATATGCAAAGGATTTCAAATAAGGCAGTGATGAATCTGCCTATCTGCAGCACAGCACAGTGGTTAAGAGCATCAACCAGGTTTGGAGTCTTGGCTCTAGCACTTAATAGCTGTGTAATCATGGGTAAATCACTTAACACTGACCCTTCTGCCCCTCCTTATCTTTTAAATTGGGGTAAGAATACCCACATCATTGATGGTTGTGTAACTATGTAAATTAAAAATCATTCAACTGAACACTTAAAACAGCTGAATTTTATGGTATGTAAATTATACTTTCACAAAGCTTTTAAAAAATGAGTACCCACATCATAGAAATGATGTGAAAATTAAAATGTAAACTGGTACTGTGCCTGTCATGTAGTAAACACTCAATAAATATTAGTGACTAATATTAGTGTAACAAAGATAAGATCAAAGAACAATAAAGAGATATAAAGTTAAATTTTTAAAGATTTAAGGAATTACTGGGCTGGTTGAAACTTCAGGGATCATTTTGTTCAACTCCTCCATTTTACAGATGAGAAAATTGGAGACCAGCAGGTGAAGTGCCTTATTCAAGGTCTAGCACTAAGACCAGATCCCAGGCCTGTGGGATCCCATTAGTGCAATTCCCACTAACACCACTGCCTCAGAAACATAGACACATGAAAAATGGAAGCTGTGTTTTCCTTAAAAAAGAAATAAGATATAGGAGAACACAAAAAACAAGCAGAGATGGTGAAGGAGGAATTTTAAGACCAGGCACAGTAGCTCACACCTGCAATCCCAATACTTTGAGAAGCTGAAGCAAAAAGATCGCTGGAGCTCAGGAGTTCAAGACCAGCCTGGGCAACACAGCAAACACCTTAGCTCTATTTTTTTAAAGTTATTTAAGAAAAAAGAATTTCGGGCCGGGCACGATGGCTCAAGCCTGTAATCCCAGCACTTTGGGAGGCCGAGGCGGGTGGATCACGAGGTCAAGAGATCGAGACCATCCTGGTCAACATGGTGAAACCCCGTCTCTACTAAAAATACAAAAAATTAGCTGGGCGTGGTGGCACGTGCCTGTAATCCCAGCTACTCAGGAGGCTGAGGCAGGAGAATTGCCTGAACCCAGGAGACGGTGGTTGCGGTGAGCCGAGATCGCGCCATTGCACTCCAGCCTGGGTAACAAGAGTGAAACTCCGTCTCAAAAAAAAAAAAAAAAAAGAAAAAAGAAAAAAGAATTTCAAGGCCAAGGAGCAAAACCAAGAGACTACCACATCCTGACTTAGCCAGTGCCTCCAGTGGGGTCCAGGTCATGAGAACTTAAGTGGTTTGGCAAGGCCAGACCCTGGTTTATCAGATGAACTGGCTCATCACTGTAGCCAGGTGCCTGGTGGAGGTGAAGCCACAGTCCTCTCTACTTCTTGTCACAATATCTGTCAGCAGCAGTAGGGGCTGGGGCCAACAATGAATGCAGCAGAATTCTTGGGAGCAGTCAGTTTGAGCACCCTGAAGTTTGGACAGCTCCTGAAGAGCTGCTTCTGCCCATGCTGAGTAGTCTGACTTCAATTGTTTATCCCCTGGTGTTGCCTAATCAGCCCCTCTGGATGCTAAGGCCTTCACTTACAATCCTGGTGTAAACTGCCTGTCAGTTCCTCCATCATGGCAGCCTCTTCAGATGAATAAGGAAGCCTAACAGATGTGAAATGACCCAAACAAACTTCCTGCTTCTCTTCATTAATGCTGCCATCTTCTAACTTGACAGCATGGCTGAAAGATTTTGAAGCTAATAAAAGCTTACTAAATTATTCCAATGCTAAACAGTAGACAGGAGAATGAGGTGTGTCTTCTAAGTTATGACTTTCAAATATTTCAGGGGGTAACATTCAGTGAGTCTACTCTGTCATTCTTAGGAGGTGGTAGAATCCTGTTCTCACAATTTTGCTGAAGAGTAATTTAGGATGGCTGGTACTGACCCTTAATGTTATGTGATCCACTGGGGGAGGAGAAAGGAAGGGAAGGGAAGGACAGAGGGGAAATTAAGGCCTGAAATAGCTTTTATAATTTAACTCAGTACATTGAAACTTCTGAATGACTAATTCATAAAAGTGCCTCAGTAGTGCCTGCAGTCCTAGCTACTTGGAAGGCTGAGGCAGGAGGACTGCTTGAGCCCAGGAGTTCAAGGAAGCAGTGAGTTATGACTGTGCCACTGCATTCCAGCCTGGGCAACAGAGCAAGACCCCAAGTCTTAAAAAAAAAAAAAAAGGTACCTCATCTTCTTCAACCATTTAAATAATCAGTGAAAGGACAGAGGAGGTTCTGTCCATTCATTTGATTTGAATATGTGGGGTGCACATTATGAACAAATGAGTAAGTTGGACTTTAGCTTTTCCACTAAAAGCTTTCCTATTTTGCAGATTACTCCATACAGTGAACACTTTGATGTCGGAGGAGGTGAGAGCTCCGACTAAAAGTTTTCTGACATTCTTGGCACTCATAAGGCTTCTCTCCAGTGTGAATTCTCTGATGTATGATAAGTTGGGAATGCTGGCTGAATGTTTTCTCACACTCACTACATTCATAAGGTTTCTCTCCAATATGAATTTTCTGGTGGAGAAGCAGCTCAGAATTATCCCAAAAAGTTCTTGCACATTCATTACATTGATGGGGTTTCTCTCCAGTATGAATTCTCTGGTGGACAATAAGATGAGAGGTCCGCCTGAAAGCCTTTCCACACTCAAAGCATTCATAGGGCTTCTCTCCAGTGTGAATTCTCTCATGTCTAAGAAGTTCTGAGTTCCCCCTGAAGGCCTTCCCACACTCCTTACATACATAGGGCTTCTCACCAGTATGAATTCTAATATGTCTAACAATCTCTGAATTCTGGCCAAAAGTTTTCCCACATTCATTACATTCATAGGGTTTGTCCCCTGTATGAATTCTCTGATGCCGGATAAGCTCAGAACTCTGACCAAAGCCTTTCCCACATTCATTACACAGATACGGTTTTTCTCCAGTATGAATTTTCTGATGTCTAATAAGGCCTGAGCTATGCTTGAAGGCTTTGCCACACTCGTTGCATTCATGGTATCTTTCTTCGGTATGAATTCTCTGATGCTGAATAAGCTGTGAACTAACCCTAAAGGTCTTCCCACATTCATTACATTCATATGGTTTCTCTCCAGTATGGATTCTCTGGTGTAGAATAAGGGCTGAATTTTGACTGAAGGCTTTACCACATTCTTCACATTTATAGGGCCTCTCTCCAGTATGAATTCTATGATGGTGGATAAGATGTGAACTCTGAATGAATGCCTTTCCACATTCATTACAAGCAAAGGGTTTCTCTCCAGCATGAATTCTCAGGTGCCGTCGAAGGCTTGAATTAGTTCCGAATGTCTTTCCACATTCTTTGCACTCAAAAGGTTTTTCTCCACTATGAACTCTCATATGCTGGATGAGATGTGAGTTCTGGTTAAAGGTTTTCCCACATTCTTTACATGTATGAGGCTTTTCTCCCACAGAACTTCTCTGTGTTTTATTAGGTTCTAAAATCTCTATGAAGTTTTGGCCAGAGGTAGCAAATGCACTCACTCCCTCTGTTACAGTATCTCCCTGATGTTTAACCAGATTTGGGCTGGGACTGCAGCCTCTCTTACCCTCATTATTCTCCCGGTCTTTCTCACTTGAGGGTGATTTTTTAAAGATCATCAACCCTGATGTAAAGTCTCTCTCCTGAGGAGACATCTGCTCCATAATCTCTTCCATGGACTCTCTCGAATGTCTCTCCGACATGTCTTCTTCACATTCTGCTCCAAACTCATGACCTTGGTAAACCACTCTTGGAAATTTTTCTAATATTGACCCATGTGGCTCAGATTCTTCAGAAATTTCTTCCTTGGGAATCACCTCCTTGTTCTCAGTCCCCATATCACAATCTGAAATGAAAGTAAGTATGTAAAGGGACCGTATCATATTTAAATGAAGCTGACACTAGAGGAGAACAGAGCTTTGATGCAGTTCTCATAGCACTCGAAAACAGTCTTGGTCAGGGGAGGGGGGTGGCTGAGGCAGGAGGATTGCTTGAGCCTGGGGAGGTCAAGGCTGCAGTGAGCTGAAATGCACCACTGCACTCCAGGCTGGGTGATAGAGTGAGACCCTGTCTCAAAACAAAAGAAAACAAAAACAGTCTTGGTGTCTAGCAAAATTACAGAATGCTGCCAAAGAGAAAATAAAGATACAGGATTATGGTGGACATGCTAAACAGTGGGGGCTGACTAAAAGGAGTGAGAAAAGATTTAAAGAGAAAGTAAGAAATGAATGGTAAAGAGATGCTGATAAAAAGATCCATACTATTCCCGTTTTCACACTACTAAGACATACCCGAAAAAAAAAGAGAGAGAGAGAAAAATGATCCATACTATTAATGGTGAGTTGGGTTGGAACCTGAAGGTAATAAAGAAAACATCTGGGGCCAGGCGCGGTGGCTCAAGCCTGTAATCCCAGCACTTTGGGAGGCCGAGGCGGGTGGATCACGAGGTCGAGAGATCGAGACCATCCTGGTCAACAAGGTGAAACCCCATCTCTACTAAAAATACAAAAAGTTAGCTGGGCATGGTGGTGCGTGCCTGTAATCCCAGCTACTTAGGAGGCTGAGGCAGGAGAATTGCCTGAGTCCAGGAGGCGGAGGTTGCGGTGAGCCGAGATCGCGCCATTGCACTCCAGCCTGGGTAACAAGAGCAAAACTCCGTCTCAAAAAAAAAAAAAAGAAAACATCTGGCCGGGCGCGGTGGCTCAAGCCTGTAATCCCAGCACTTTGGGAGGCAGAGGTGGGTGGATCACGAGGTCAAGAGATCATGACCATCCTGGTCAACATGGTGAAACCCTGTCTCTACTAAAAAAATACAAAACATTAGCTGGACATGGTGGCGCGTGCCTGTAATCCCAGCTACTCAGGAGGCTGAGGCAGGAGAATTGCCTGAACCCAGGAGGCAGAGGTTGCGGTGAGCCGAGATCTCGCCATTGCACTCCAGCCTGGGTAACAAGAGCGAAACTCCGTCTCAAAAAAAAAAAAAAAAAAAAAAAAGAAAAGAAAACATCTAGGGAAAATGGTGGCCCCATATTAATAGATACATATATGATAAATGTTGAAAGAAGGGACAAAAATGACAAGGCAAGGCCAGACATGGTGGTTCACGCCTGTAATCCTAGCACTCTGGGAGGCTGAGGTGGACAGATCACTTGAGCTCAAGAGTTCAAGACCAATCTGGGCAACATGGTGAAACCTTGTCTACTAAAAATACAAAAATTAGCTGTGCCTGGTGGCATATACTTGTAGTCCCAGCTTCTTGCAGGGGGCTGAGACAGGACAATCGCTTGAACCAGGAAGGGGGAGGTTGCAGTGAATCAAAATTCTCCCACTGCACTCCAGCCTGGGTGACAGAGTAAGACCCTGTCTCAAAAAAAAAAAAAAAAAAAAAAGACAAGTTAATAGAAATAACTTTTGGGTGTATAGGGGAAGTAACTGCAAAATGAGTAACAAGAGAATTATTCTTAGTTTCGTTCTCTGGTACTTATCAGCTCTATAGAGCAGGAGATGAGACTTACAGGGCTTACCCATTCAAAAGGGTAATGTGTCTTAGCTATAACTAGCACAGAAGAACCACCTATGTTACCCAGGCTGTAGCCTCAGCTACTGGGGAGACTGAGGAAGGAGGGTAACTTGAGCCCAAGAGGTCAAGGCTGCAGTGAGCCAGGAGTGTGCCACTGCACTCCAGCCTGGGCAATAGGGCAAGAGACTTTGTTTCTTAGGAGGGAGAGAAAAAAAAGAGTACCTTTTTAAAACCTTTATGAAGATTTTTAGTTGTGGCAAAAATTTTAGTTATCTACCCCAAGATCTATTTTTCTCCATTGCCTTTTAACCAAATAACAAATTTATGCAGTGTGCCAATTAGCCTAGTTAAAAAAAAATACATTCCCCAGCTTTTTAATTTTAGCAGTTGGGATTGGCCACATGATCATATTCTAGCCAATAAGACACTGAAATGCAAATGAAAGCACATGAGACTACTAGGAAATCTCCTAAAGGATGAGGGGATACATTTCTTCCATCCTGTCTTCCATGCTGTTCCCAGAGCATGATGTGATAGCTAGACACCATCTTGAACCATGAGTATAATGGCATACCCTAGGATTGAGGGTCAGAACTGGAAGGAACCTGGGTCCGTGATGACTCCGTGGCACTGCCATACCTTTCCTGGAATGCCAGCCACTGGGCTTCACTTATCTAAAAGAGAAATAAGCTTTTGCCTTGCTTAAGCCATTGGGGTTTTTGTTGCTGTTGTTGTTATTTTACGAAGCTAAACCTATTCCTAATATAACTGCCCTGGGGATTTGGCTATATCCACCACAGACAAGGGGTCCAAATGCCAGGAGTGTAAGCCTGACCTTTGTTCAGATGACAAGCAACCTGGAACTAACATTAAAATGGCCTTTTGCTGAAGGCAGCGTATTTGTGCATTACAGTAAATCCGAGGAATACAATCCTCCCATCAGTAAAAGTGTTCACTGTGGAAGGCAATTCTCAAGGGGACATGGGCATATATGTAACTTCATCCTTTAGACAATGCAGACTACGGGATAGTTTTTAAACCAAGGAGTGACACGGTCCCTGGGCAGATCAGTATTACATGCAGATGCATACTCATGACCGTTTAGTGGCTGAAGCAGAAAGCAGCAGGCCTGAACACAGGAAGATCAGCTGGGAGGCTGATATAGTCATAAAGGCAAAAAGTGATGTGATCTAACTAGAACACTAGTAGCAGTGGGGAAGAAGAGATAGACTGGAAAAATACTGAAGAGGTCAAATTCTGCAAGACTTCCTGTGTGACTGGATATAGGTTTAAGGACGGAGGAGTCAAAGATGGTGCCCATTGCCGGGCGCGGTGGCTCAAGCCTGTAATCCCAGCACTTTGGGAGGCCAAGGCGGGTGGATCACAAGATCGAGAGATCGAGACCAACCTGGTCAACATGGTGAAACCCCGTCTCTACTAAAAATACAAAAAATTAGCTGGGCATGGTGGCGCATGCCTGTAATCCCAGCTACTCAGGAGGCTGAGGCAGGAGAATTGCCTGAACCCTGGAGGCGGAGGTTGCGGTGAGCCAATATCGCGCCATTGCACTCCAGCCTGGGTAACAAGAGCGAAACTCCGTCTCAAAAAAAAAAAAAAAAAAAAAAAAAAAAAAAGATGGTGCCCAGATCTCACTCAATTTGAGAGATGGTAATTAGGTGGATGGTGGTGCTACGATATTGAGAATACTGGAGGAGGAGTTAGTAGAGCAATAAAGATGATGAATGAGCTCTGTTTTGGACAAAATGAGTTTCAAGATATCCATAGAGAGGTGTCAAAGAATCAGTCAAGCCGGGTGCGGTGGCTCAAGCCTGTAATCCCAGCACTCTGGGAGGCCGAGGCGGGTGGATCACGAGGTCAAGAGATCGAGACCATCCTGGTCAACATGGTGAAACTCCATCTCTACTAAAAATACAAAAAAAATTAGCTGGGCATGGTGGCGCATGCCTGTAATCCCAGCTACTCAGGAGGCTGAGGCAGGAGAATTGCCTGAACCCAGGAGGCGGAGGTTGCGGTGAGCCGAGGATCGCGCCATTGCACTCCAGCCTGGGTAACAAGAGTGAAACTCTGTCTCAAAAAAAAAAAAAAAAAAGAATCAGTCAAAATATGTTGGTCTAAAGCTTAGTCAGGACTAGAGATACAGACTTGAGAGTACTCAGCATGAGCATAGTGTGAGAGCTATCAGAGACTGCAAGCAGAAACCTAGGAGTCAAAGCTAACAGTCACAAGTACTCCAGTTATCTTCCATTTTTCCCTCTAGATCTTCTTTACACCTTTCTCCCTGTCCTCTTTGCCCCAGAAGCCTAACCTGTATGGAACACATCAGCAGGCCCTCTGGCTTTCAACCGTGTTCCATCAATGAGGAGCCCCAGCAGGGGTCTGGAAGCAGGGAGGAAAGGGTGGGGTGGGAGAAAGGGGTCAGGGTATTTATTCTTACAGTTCCTACAGGTGAGGTCACCTTGGGCTGGTGTTGTCCCTGACCTGAGGTCCCTACTACTCTCAAGTCTATCCTATTCTATAGTCTCACTGTCTGGTTTCCAGTAACCTCTGCTCCCTCCTGTCTCTTCAGGCTCAGGGCTAGTGACTATTATTGCCAGCCCCAGGTTCTTCAATACCCTGCTCACACCTAGGTCATTTCTAATTAACCTCTTTGCAAATAAACCCTCCTCAAATTGTTGTAATTTGAATGAGCTGTTTCCTGTTCAGACCCTGTTAATAAAGGGGTGAGTAGAGAAAGAGAATTAGCCAAGAAGATAAAGAATGGTAGTGAAGCTGAAAAACTGGAACACTGTATCATAGAAGTCACTTAGGCAATGGCTGAGGGAATTAAAAAATATCAAATGGAGGCTAGGCATGGTGGTTCATGCCTTTAATGCCAGCACTTTGGGAGGAGTAGGCGGGAGGATCACTTGAGGCCAGGAGTTTGAAACCAGCCTGGGAAACATAGCAAGACCCCATCTCTACAAATTAAAAATTTAAAAATTAGCTAGGCATAGTGGCATGTGCCTATAGTCCCAGCTACTTGGGAAGCTGAGGTGGGAAGATCACTTGAGCCTGGAAGGTAGAGGATGTAGTAAGCTATGACAGAGTCACTGTACTCTAGCCTGGGCAACAGAGTGAGACTCTGTCTCAAAAAAAAAAAAAAAAAAGAAAAAAGAAAAAAACAAAGTCAAATGCAGTTGAGAGATTCAGTAGGATAAGAATTGGAAAATGTCTGCTGGGACAATAGACAGTCACATATAAACTGTAAGCACAGATTCAGTGGAATGACAGAGGGGAAGCCAGGTGGTAGTGGACTAAGTAACGCA